CAATGCAGTCGCTTTGAAAACATCAGATATATATCCGATTTAAAACCACATACTGAAACGGCCTGGGTCGGATTTGAAAAAATCGGATTTGTCGCGTTCAGACTGTCATAAAAAAATCGGATATGAGTCAGATGGGTCAAAAAAATCGGATTTGGGTCGGATTTGCCTGCAGTGTGAACGTAGCCCATGAGAGGGGAGTGTGGTGTCTTTTAAAATCATGATAGAATTCTGGGATTTTAATTTTGGGACAAAAATGTATTTTTCATGAAGTAAAACTAATGTTAATATCTTAAAATGTTGTTAAAAATGAAAATAAAATGATTGCAGCAACAGAGTAAAGAATTAAACATACACAAGCCCTGTACGTCATCCTCTCTGGGTTGTAAGCCTAAGATAAAATAAAACATAAAGCATTATGCAATTGCACCCAAAATCTACAAATAATGAGAGTTACACATCAGGTTTCTTTTAAGCTCATTTCTTTGTGGATCTTTGTTTTGCTGAAAAGCAATATACTGAGCATCTGACACAGGGCTGTTAAAGTATGAATAATATTAATATTTTACTATTACAAACACCAGTTACATTACCGGACTCTGCTTTAGGACACAAAACACCAAGTCAGGTGTTTTGATGGTCTACAGCAGAGGTTCTCAAACTGGGGTCCCAGGACCCCCAGGGGTCTGCCAGTCGTATCTTGGGGGTCCTCAAAAATTTTCAATAAATTGTTCATTTGATTTTTATTTTTTAAATTTTATAAGGGGAATAATACACTAATAAAACAAACATACTAAACCAAACAAAAGATAAAATTTCCATGGCATTTAGGAGGTAAAATAACAGTAAACTATTTTCATAAGTGGGTCCCCGGAAATTTTTACCCTTGTAAGGGGTCGCCAGACCAAAACATTTGAGAACCCCTGGTCTACAGAGATCAAATTCAATTTGAAATGGATAATGGTTGGCATCAAAATGGTCATATTTAATTAGCCTTTTTGTAATTTTAAGTAGCAATAGCCGAGGATGCGTGTCTCTGCCACAGTTTTTTGTTTTGTTTTGTTTTTGTGGGTTGAAGCAGAAAACTCTGGGAACCACTGTTCTCATTAGTCTGAAATCGGTGCATTTCATAGAGATAGAGTCTCATTAACCAAATATTTTTATCACTGACCTTTTTAAATCGTTCATCATTTTTGACAGATTAGAACACTGGGACAATGTTCTGCAAGACTGTGTAATTCACTGCAACACTGCCACTAATAGTCCCTCTGTACAAGACCAGCTGAATGTGCATTTTTATTAGTTATTGTTTAGGATTTGAAGGTGTCATTGCTGTCTTTGGCAGAAACTGTGTTCCACTATTTTTGTACAAACAGCTGATTAAATAGGCAACAATCTAAAGGCCTGGTAAAGGGTCTTTGACAACTAAGGCTACGTTCACACTGAGGTTCTTCAGGTTTAATTCATATTTTTTGCTCAGATCCTATTTTTGTCCCACATCTCCAAGGGGGAAAATAGAAATACTCTCAATTCGTCGGTCCACCTCTGACAGGGGGCATCAGAGACGGTTGGCGTCAAGTTCTATCTTGTTTGTTTTTTTTTTACTTTCAATGTAAGCATGTATAGATTGAGTCTGTAGGTACAATCAGAGGCAACTAAATTATTATCTGCTATGCTTGTTTTGTCCAATGTTTACATTTGATCTTGCCACTTGTCTTCTACTCAGGGAACTCAGAATTACACATCTGAAATGGGAACGAATTATCACTTTAATCATGTTAGTATCAATGTGATCCAACATGTTGGTATACCGGTGTTATGTTATGTTGGTGGAAATTATCTGTTATCCAGGACACAACCAATCTAGACAGTTTTTCAAAAAGACAAAGCAACTGGACTTCTGTTCTGTAGCTAAATGCAAGCTAAGTTCCAAGCTTTAAACTGTATAATGTTGGTATCAATTTCAATATCTGGATTGATCCATGCACCTCTACCTCACTGATGTAAAGGTTGACTGAAAAGCAACACAATCGTTCAGACTGCAGTCACTTAAAAAGCATCAGGGGTCAGATTTATAAAGCTTGTATATGCACATGAGCCCAGAAAATTGCGTACGCTACTTTTCACGCAAAGGTTGTGATTTATAAAATCCAAACATGACGTGAAAATGTGCGGTCCCTCAGCCAGCTCTGACCCATGTTCATTTTGGAGACGGGAAGCTGCGACACAGATGGTGAAGAGGAATTTAGAGCCACACTGTGTAATGATCACTGTCAGATATTTAATTTCAGTTCATAATCAGACTTAGATTTTTATTCAACTTTATCATCAGCTTTCTTAACATTATTATTTATGCTTCTGCTGGTGAGCCAGGACCTTTGAAATAAAAACTTAAATCTTAAATAAAAGTTCCCGCATCTCCATTCCTTCCTCCTCCTCACAACCCTGACCCACAGACCCCTCCCCGACAAGAGACATTAAAATCACGCTTTGGGTACGCACAGGGCGCGCCCACCCACCCTTGCCAGTGTGGATGTTATAAAACTTCTCTTTTTAAAGTCCGTATTTGTCACACGCGGGGGGGAGACGAATGGTGCTGCTGGATATGGGCACCATTGACCCCCATGACCCTAAAAGGAAGATGCGGGTATAGATAATGGATGAATATCCAAATGGCCTGAATCAGATTTTAAAAAAAGATTTTTATTTTACATTCAGCCTAACAAGTCGCATTTGAGCAAAAAAAAAATTAATCAGATTTGGGCCTCTTTTGCTTGCAGTAGGACACAGAAAATTGCCCTGGCCTTACTGCTTAAAAATATGGATTTTTTTTTTTTCTTTTCTGGGAAACACTTAAGTGGTGCTAGTATTCCAGTCTCCACAGGATTCTGTCTTCAGATCAAAAATATAGCAGCTATGTTAATAGCAGTTGGTCTGAAATTCCTTAAAAGCCTTTTGACTTTTTATTTTATTTTATTTAGTGTCATGCTAAAGGTAAGAACCAGAGAAAGTCGTCTGACACCCTGGTTTTAAAATAAAACAGCCCCCGGTAGCATCTGGAAATGTCTGAAAACGTTTAAATGGTAAATCAAGCCCAGTCGGACTCCCAAAGCATTTTATAGTTACAGTCATTCACCCAGTCAAACATACATTCAAACTGATGGTGGTAAGCTACACTGTACCCACAGCTGCCCTGGGGCACACTGACAGAAGCAAGGCTGCCATGCACCAGCACCACCGGAGGACCCTCTGACCACCATCAGTAGGCACGGGAGGTGGAGTGTCTTGCCCAAGGACACAATAACTGAGATGGCTGGAATGGAGGATCAAACCATCAACCCTCCAGTTGCAGAACGACTCCCCTAACCCCCCAGACACAGCCGCAGAAACCAAAATTTTTTGCCCACTGGTGGAACAAAGACTGTTACAGGGTTAAGCTGTCAGTCAAATTGTATCCCTGCAATTTAGGAAGCACTTGATTTGTTTTTGCTTTGGGATCTATTGGTAGAGCACACTGTATGTTTTTATAATTAGTTATCCGTGTTCATTTAATTATCTGATGTAAATCTGCCGTTAAGATTAAAATCTGGAATAATATGCAACATAAGCCTATAAAAACAAAACCACTTAGGTTGCAGCTTGTGTTTATAAAGTTATTGTGGTCTATTCATTCAACCTAAAACAACAATCTTTATTTCACCTCAAACTTAATGTAACTGTCAGAAAAAAAATCCGCATTATGCTTTTGGTTATTTGCTCAGATCATTTGCAAATTATTTTGTTGGTGTTATCAGTCCAAAGATGGAAGGGTTGTTGATTTCATAATGATTATAACGATTATAAAAAAAAGAGTGAACATCATGTCGGCTCTATTTGTCTAGTATAACAGCATTTACTGTTTCCTACTGTTTCAGCAATGTGATAATAATAGCTGTCAACACTGTTTAGTCTGAAAAGCTGTAATATAACTGCAGCACTTGCACAGTAATAAAGCTTCCCCAGTATGTGGTATTGTGCAGTACAGCTCAGTTATTTGTGGTTTTCCATTGTTTTAATAAAAGTGTTGAGTAATTTAAACTGTTTTTTAACCATGTCAGCCAAGGTTCCATGTGAGCCAAACAGGTATCGCACAATAACACCAAAATACACTGATCATTAACTGGTGTGACTGAATCAAACAGCTTCTCTGCAGTAGCACAGGACAGCAACACTATTCCTTGTTTTATGAATTCATTAAATCTAAAATATATTCATCTCATTTGTGCACAAGGATTGCATTTCGTATGCATTACTAATGAAGACAAAAGTGTTTTATCTGACCAAAACAGCAGATCAAGAGATTGACATTTAATTCCTTAGCTGACCAGAGTGTAGATATCTAACAATCAGTTGTTTTAACAACACACGTTTCTGGCACAATACCTATTGTGTGTTTAGGCTGCTCCTTATCACTTGTGTGTCACTTTGGATTTAAGTGTCTGCAACATAATAAACTCACAGAGAGAAGCTGTGTCTCCCCGCAGCATCACACCAGGACCAAATTGTAAAATGTAATGAAAAAAACGCCATGATGGCCAAATGTCCTAATCATTTCTGCTAGATCTATCTTTGCCATCTACTGTCCTGATGCATATTTTCTCACCTATTAGTGTAATAATAAAATGCAGAGTGACTCTGTGGTCCTGTCGGAGCAGCTCCTTCAAAGCCCCTGCAGATCTCTTCAGCATTCCACTGACACCAGACAAGGCAAAGGACTTCCTCACATACTAGATCACACGGTAGACAATGTAAAACAAAAAAAATGAGAAAATTTAAAAACTTTTGCATCAATGGAAATGGAAAAAAAAGTATTTGTGATAGTACGTCAATTTTAAGGATTCGAAAATAATGACACACAAGCGATCAGAACTAAAATCCATTTAGCTTTAAGAGAGTTTAGAGCAGTGTTATTGCTTATAAAATGTGTTCTTACCGCGATTTCGTCTGCTTGAATTATTTCCACAACACAAGCCAGGCAGAACAGTCCGCCTCCTTCTTCAGGCCGCAGCCGGATGCTCCATTTCGGGTCGTGTCCGAAATGAACTTTTTCATAAATGATATCCGCACTTGACATTGTTGTTGTTTTTTTTTTACCTATAAAAATAAAAACAAAATTAGAATAAAAWTATAATTCTTTAAAGAGTCTACTGAAAGTAGTGGATGTGAAAAAAACATGAAAAATGCCTATTTTATGACTAAACTATTGGATGTTATTAACATAGCAACGCTAGCACAACACTAAATATCTAAAGCTTTAAAAACAATGCTGTAACTCACGTTAGCTTTATATTTTTTGTCGAGTAATTATATTTTATAAGCTATGTTTATCCAAAACAGAAAGCTAACCTGTAAAKTCGTGAATCACATAGCTAATAAATGGTGACAAGCTTTAGCGCGTTAGCTTAACCGCTGTCGGCTGGCAGAAGTCACGTGAGATGTCAAAAGTCAAAACTTTATTAACAGCAGGAGGCAAGACAACAAAACTATGAACGCAAAATACACGCCCCTTTTAGAGTATGAACAAGTATAGTTTTACATTATTATTTACTTTAAATTTTCAAAAATTAGATAGACTTAAAATGGTAGTGTTAAGAGTTTGTTTCCAATAAGCTACATTTACCAAGACTCACAATTAGTGCATTAGCATTTTAGGAGCTCTTTCTGAGAAAACAAAAACTTAGAGCAATTTTAAAAAAATCTGATCTATTTCTTGTTGCAATGTTATGAATTAAAATAAATGTTTCTGTATCAGGGCTTCATAAATTATTTAGCCTTTTATTTTTAGGATAAAAACAAATGATGTAAAAAAAGTAATTAAAAAATAAGTAAAAAAAATTATGACCTGTCTTTATTCGTAGATTTTAATTCTCATATTTAGAAATGATRTAAAAATGTCCTATTTAAACAGAAAAACAAGTTGTCACTATAAGTCTAGCATTCCTTGATGGAATGCATGTCACCCGCTGTTTTTCATGCCAAAGTTTTGAACTAAGTTGAAAATATGAAAGTGTAGTGTTGGTCAAATTTGAAGGTGTTCACCTGAACAGTCTCATGCAATATKGAAAGATGTCACATTCAGCGTATGTGCTGTGAGTGACTGTCAACTACTACACCAGATTCCTGCTCAAAATATTTCAAATCAGATAAGTTATAACCATCTGAAATCAGATACACTCCAAAAATTAAACTGTATGTGCATCCAATTATACCTTTCAGCAAGATTCATTAAAATTTGTCCATGGGTTCTGAGATATTTTAGTAACAGACATAACATTGGAGGTATGATAGTTTTTTTCCCCTTAACTTGTTTAAGCAGTTGATAGATCATCCACTGAAGTTCCATCAGAAAGAAACAGGAGTAATGTCCTTAATTAGCATTTGAAAGCATTTACAAATGTTTTCTGTTTGTACTTAAAAGAAATGCCTTTGTTAAAAAAAGTTTTCAGCAATGATGTTTGTGACTGCTTCATGGATTCAGTGGTGATCATCATCACCATGACAACAAGAGCCCTTCGGCAACTGAGYGGCGATGTGATGAGAGGTTTGTGGAGGCGAGTTTGAGCTACTAYCAACACGTCAATTTATCCTGTTACTCCATAAACATACCTCACTTGCTCAGTGCATCTCACAGCGTAAGATTTTTGTTGTTGTTCTTTTTAAGTGTTTCTGCACAACAAATAAGCAAGCTGGAGTGCTTCCAGTGAACTAATTGTTTCTCAGTGAGTAATATGTGTTGAGCTTTGTAAATTAGATGGTGCCAAAGTTCGCACAAAGTGTCAAATAAGTGTTCGGTTGATTGAGACGAGTGTGGAACCAGAGCAAGAAGGCAGAGGGTCTGATCAAAACTGAGATGTTGTGTTGAGCGTAAAGAAAAACAGAAAAAAAATGCATGAACAGATGATGGGATATTCATGATCTTCCAAATTATCAGTTGAGGAACATTATAAGACAAGACAAGACAAGACAAAACTTTATTGATCCCACAGTGGGGAAATTTGCACATTACAGCAGTTCAAAACAGGATATGGGTGAAATAGAATAAAGAAAGATAAGTAAAAGAAAAACAAAAAAACACTGATATATTATTATCATTACTCGTGATTATATTATTATGCATGAACTATTTTAGCACCTCATCCTATCTGTAAGGCTGAGCCCGGCCACCCTATGAAGGAATCTCATTTCAACCACTTGATCTCATACTTTCTGTCGTTATCTAAATCTCCTAACCATGGATGAGGGTTGGAACGTAGACAGGCCAATAAATTGAGGGCTTTGCCTTTCGGCTCAACTCTTTCTTCACCACGACTCACCAAAGCAATGTCTTCTTTACTGAAGATGAGGTCCCAAGTGGATCCATCTCCCCCTCCATCCCCCACAGATGTGGCAATCAGTGTTTTCACCTGCCCCCTCCTGATTGACTGGCACCTGATTGAGCTCACCTGCAGCAGACTTCCTTGATGAGCATCTGGTATTTATAAGGCAGCACTGAAGATCTGATCTTTGGTGGAGCAACACATCCACTATATGTCGCGGCTGCTTATATCTTAAAACATTACCTTGAGTTACTTACCTGTGTTCTTTATGTCCAGTTGTCTCGAGTACTTACCTGCCAATCCGGAGCTGCCTGTGGAAAGACTCACCTCTCGCTCACATGCCTGTCTGCCTCCAACCTGTAAGGACACTCACCTGCTCAGCCCTCCTGCCTTCCTACCTGCCTCCTCTGGTTGGAAACTGCATACTCACCTTGTGGATCCAAGCCTTCTCCTCCAAGCCATTCCCCTCCCTGATCACTCCCTGGAACCCAAACTCYACTGTAAATAAAGATCTCTTACCTTTTTATAAACTGCCTCCTGAGTTTGTTCATCGTACACTCATCTTTGACTTACCTGATAACAGAATGCCATAAGCCTTCTCCAGATCAAAAAACACATGTGGACGGGAGAGACAAACTCCTKGAACTGTTGCCTCTATGACTTGATTATGGATAAGGTGTTTTTTACAGATTWGTGAACCTCTGCCCATCTTTACTTCTGAGATTCAGCCTCTCTAACATAATCTTTTTATACCTAGTTGCAAAATGCTCCATCTGTTTCATGATAAAATATAGTCTTATTTAGCGTTTTTCCAGACACTTTAAGATGCTTTATATTCACACACATTCGATCACATCAATATGATCCAACCTGTGGAAAACTATTGTACCCACAGCTGCTTTGCTTTATGCTCCTTACTTTTATGACTTTTGTTGCCATGTTTCAATTATTTTTAGATAGGCCCCTGCCAAATAATTGCATTATTTTTATCCTAAAATAGTTTTAGTTTAAATATTYAATAAGTTTACTATGTTGCATCCTGTTGTTCACATTTTCACACAATGTACCAATCAATTGCAGTAGTTGTTTTGCCTCCAGCCATTTTGGGACAAACATGCATCAGTCTGTGTGGTTGTTTTATTRACCTGAGAGACATCGCAAGAAGAGGAGAGCTAAAACACAATACACTGTCAGCTTTAATCTGACAGCAGTTTTATATGTGCTACTTTCAGTCAAAGTGTAAGCAGCAAGGACTTAAAACAAAACAGCTTTTTCTCACATCATTCCTTGACCTTTGTCTTTCTATAACTCTTGTTTTGACTTCCTTTGTACCCCCCCAAACGCCCACACACACAGATCAGTCAGCGCTGTGATACGCTCATCTGCACTGACATGTTATTCTGGGCTGATTTCCTTCCACCACCCATACAGCTGCAGTGAAGAGAGGTCTTGAGAAAAAGCCTAAAATAGACATTTTTTTCCAGTTACATCAGCTTGTTGTTTGTCACAAAGCTAGCAATTTATTCACTCAAGGGTGATGACATTTTATTTTTGCTTGTGTGTGTAATAGTTAGTCCGTTTGTCAACTAAATATCTGACAAACTAGTAATCATTGGATGTACATCTGCAACTGACTTAGTTTTGGGGTCAGCCTTAATCAATTGTAAATACACAAAAATGCTTAAAACTTTATCACTTTTACAGCTATTGAGCTAATATTTTGTGTGGTAATAGCTGAGAGTCCTTCACACCTTAGGCTACTAGCACTAACAGATCATACAATGACTTGTTTGAAGACTTAACTATTAACTGTTGGAAATAACTCTCTTTCTGTTAGCAAAATATGTCAAAAAGCAATGCATGGATTTCAATGAAATTTTCAGAAATTAACCATTGAGGGTACTTTTACATCTGATTACCTGTTGGAGTGAACACAATTCAAAATGTCTTTCCCAACACAATCAGTTTGAAAATTCAAAAATGACTATGGCTCAGCACAATTTTATGCAAATTAGGCTAAAATTTGTCGTAGTAGTAGCTAAGAGTTATTCATAACTCATATTCTGGAATCTACACATATTACTACATATTAACATAAACTACTGGAGTCAACCCTGTTTCTCTGTAAGTAAAATATCTCTCAAAATCGTTAGCTAAAATTAAAATTTATTATAGCTATTTACACATATATAGGACAGTTTGGTCTGGTTAAACATTTATAGCTTATAAC